CTACTCTAGTCCCCTGTCCCTTATGTTGCAGCCTGGTTATAAAGGCACATGACTCTTTCAGGGACTCCCATCTCTAATTTTCAGTGAGCAACTGTTGTGTTTTGCTTCATGCTTTCYCTTGGGACGTCCTGAATTTTGGAATGGAGCAGTTTAGGGGCGATGGATTTTGTGATGTGGGTCACGGTGAAAACTATCCCGAGTAGCACAGGTTGCGTGGTCCTATCTTGAAAGCATGATCRTAGGTTCGTAGTACTTTGGTAGAATAAAGCTTAGCTACCTTGTTAAGCAGTCTGGGGAGTAGAGATTTAGGCTAAGTTCCTGCTTGCCTCAGCCTTGCTGCTTGGCTTTGGGCAAGCAGTTTTCCTTGCTGCGTCCTGGATCCCCTGCTAAAAGTAGGTGCAGTGCAAACTCATCTTGGAACTTGGGGCAGAGGATGCTGTCCAGCCTGCCCCTTTAGCTGCCTGCAGTGTCAAAATAGCAAGGGTTTGGAGCTATGCTGACTCCTTGCTCTGACCTTAGTGACGYTCATGTTCTTGCCATGATGGTAGAACTTAAACACTTCAACGAGATGGAAAGACGGCCTCTGTGTTCTGCATCAGATAAATCATGGAGAAGTTTCTTGTTTTTTTTTCTTTCCTTTGTTGCTGTTGTTGTCTTGTTTTGTTTTCTTTTTTTGGACAGTGCATTCACATCTGGTTTGATTAAACTCCTCCATCTAATATCCCTTTCCCTATAAAGGCCTTGAATGCCTAGGAGAATGTTTGCCTAAGTGGCCCTCTGAGGTGAAGCTCAAGGCAGATGAACACTATGTACCAGTGCAACCAGAGTTAGCATTATATGACACTCAACTCTGGATTCAGTTTTTCCATAGAGACACTTAATGCTTTTGGCTGACATAAGGGTTTTTTTTTTATCCTGATAGAGCTCAGCATGTTATGGTTGCTTGTTTGCCAGGATCACAGCTTGGTTGGGTGTCGTATCTACAGCAAGTGTAACAGAGGAAACGAGAATTGCTTGAAAGTGGAGGAGGGAAGGGCTTCGGAGAATGTTCTTCCATCGTGGCCAGGGGATGCCTGCTGTAGGAGCTGGGTTCAGGCTTCCCTTTCACCACCCCAGCTCCATCTCTCCTTTTTCCCTTCAAGAGGGGACAGGGGTTSTGAAACATCTGGTCTCTTCCTGCATTTTTGAGGTTGTGACACAACCAATTGCACGTTGAGCTGTCTGATATAGAGCATGGTGTCTGTCCAGCTGACTTTTCAGAGAGGAACACCTAAAGAAGTGCAGAGCTCCAGCATCCTCAAGTATGCTGAGGAAAAACAAACCTGTAGAACTGGCTTGTGCTTTCTTTTTTAGACTTGAAACTGCACCTGCAGAGCACAGACTATGGGAATTTCCTGGCCAACGAAGCCTCCCCCCTCACCGTGTCCGTCATAGATGACAAGCTGAAGGAGAAGATGGTGGTGGAGTTCCTTCACATGAGGAACCAAGCGTACGAGCCGCTAGCAAGTTTTCTGGACTTTATCACGTGAGTACCAGCTGTTAGAAACCCCACTGTTCTTGCAGACTTTCAGATCACCTGTCTGTACGCAGCCCTGGAGCTACTACATTTTCTGTAACTTGATGGGTGAAGCTGTTCATGGCCCAGACTGAAGATCTCAAGCTCTTCACAGTGTCACTGGCCTGTCAAAGGCTTCTGCTCTCAGGGTGTGTGAGCTCCAGTGCTGCTCTGATCCTGCCATCCCACCTCAGTGGTTGAGTCAGCTGAGGTTCCTCTAAACCCCATCGTTAACTGATTCATGGAGCTGAGCTGGCCAAAAAATAGACCAACTACCCCTTTTCAGGGTTAGGCTTGGGCAGATTTGGTTTCTTTAGCAGATTTAGTGGGATGTAATAATTATTGCCACCACTAGAGCAAGGTAAGGCATAGAATGTGCAGCCARTGAAGAAGACTGGGCTGCAGCCACCCCAGCTTGTCTCTGTTGGTGCATATAAACACACAGGACTCTGGAGCTGATTGAGAAGAGGCACATTCAGCTCATGTAAAAGTCTTGAAATGGCACAATGTTTTTGCAAGCATCTTCCTCTAGAGCTTTYGTACAACCTGTACGTTTCTCCTCTGCTTCCCTCTGTCCAGTGCTCACTTTAATGACAACGAAAAGGATTTGCTGGCCTCTGAAGCATCAGTTGTGCTGGTCTTGTCCTGCCTGTCAGTTTGAAGTTAYTCCTTGCTTTTTGTAAGGGTTCCCGTGTAACGGATCACTTCTCCCTTGGTTATTTTTAAATGTGAGAGACTGCCACAGGGCTGCAGTGGTCATGGGACAACATGGTGAAATCCAGGCAAGATGCATGATTCTTGTTTTTGAAGTGTTGCTCAAGAGCTCAGCAAAGCTCTGCTGTGGTTTGTGCAGCTCTTATCTGCATTTGCTGATTCTGTGCTTAAATGTTTTAACTTCAAAGGATGCATTTTTATATTAGTCTCTATTACTATTAAAGTATTTAATAGTCAAAATGCATCTCTGAGTCATGCTAAATAATGCAGTTGGAGAACAGATTTGCTGGAAATCAGAGATTGCTGCCTCAGGTTGGTAACAACATCCTTTGCTTCATTTTTTTTCTGAAAATCCTCCCTCTTCATCCCTGCTGTTYAGAATAACTCACTGTTTTAGGGAGATGAGCATCATCACTTTAATAATCCTGAATAGTGATTTTTTAAATTATTTTTAATTTTTTGGCAGCAAAGCTGGATCACAGCCATTGTAGACCTGCTACCAGTCATGTGGTATAGTCTTTTTTTTTTTTTTTTTAACAGATCAAGGGCTGTGTGTGGCTTAAGAGTCATGTGGTCTCCATCTGCTTTTCTCTTGCTGAGACAACTCTTCAGTTTCCTGGAAAGTGCACTTGAAGCAGCTTGCTCTTCAGAGAACAGCAGGAAAACCCTTACCTCAGGACAGCTCTAGTCTAACTTTCTGCTCAGAGCAGAGCTGGCTTTGAAGCTTGAAGTTGTTCAGGTGTTCTGGAAACCTCTGAGGATGGAGATGCCTTTCTTGTCAGGAGATGCAGAGCTGCACTGCTGRTGAAAGGATGGAGGGATCACCTCTGGGTTTGTGTTTATCATACCAGTGGAGTATTATGCGGTGGAGAATGTGCTTATCAGATGTAGCTGGTCCATCCTGAAGAGACTGGCAGTATCCTGGATGCTCTAGGGGCTTCCAGTGACACTACAAATGTTTTAAAACAGAAAAATGAAGGTTGCAAAATACAAGGAGTTTGCAGAGGTGCCTCAACACTTTGTTGATAATATTGGTGTGTTAGTGACCGGGCTTGTGGACAAAGGGCAGGCCCAAGGTGACTTCTTGTGGTCTGTTCCAGCCTGTGGTCTGTTCCCTGAACCTCCCTCTGTGGTTTTAGTAGTCTTGGCTTGGGAGAGGGGAGTCTTCTGCACTTAGAGTAAGTTTTGTRGTGTGTTCTACTGTTGCCAGCACGAGGCTTCCCCTTCATGTCCCACATAACTAGCAGGGTGAGCAGCTCGTTTCAGAGGCTGGCAGCATGTGCTGGTGCCAGCATCTTTGATTTAACTGTCCTGAATTAATCCCACACGAGACCTGTTAAATGCTTGGAAACACCTTGCTGAAAATGGCCAAACTATGGATGGCTGGTGCCATGAGGTGGWTTCATACAAGTCAAGATTCAAACTTTGTGAATTGGACTCTGTAGCACTTTAGAGTTGATCCATATGTGGCTTTGACTCTCCAGAGTTACCTTTTTGGAGGGGGAATGCTCAGACTTTGACCTCAGGGCACGTTGCTGAGAAGATCCAGGGAAATGTTTGATCTCGGGACTGACTATTGGCCTTACGTTTGATTGCTCCAGCCTGCCAGAAGTTATGCAGCCCTGCATAACTTTTATCCCTGTGTGGAATTGTGCTACGCGGTTTCTCCTGCCTCTTCCAACGGAACTGAGGACATGGGAAGCAGAAGCAGCAGTGCTGCTGTGACAGATGCCACCAAAGGACTCATCTCATATTGTGTGAGGGGGAGAGCTCTGGAGCACAGAGAGGGAGCATGTTCTTCATGTGCTCTTCRCTGCCCTGCTTTGAGGAGGCCAGAGAGGTGTCCAAGAGCTGTCGGGACCTTGCCAGAAGGTGGCACTCCAGCCCTGTGTCTTCCTGTGCCTGGGCTCGCGTGGGGCCCTGTACAGGGCTGCGCAGGTGGACAGGAATTAACCTGCCTGCAGACTACAGCCCAAAGAGCAGTATTTAAAAGGACACCAAAAAAAMCCCGACCCATCAAAGTAGCTACCTGATGTCTTCGAAGGGAGGTCTTCATTCCACAAGGCCCTTGCTCTCACTAATGTCTGTTCATCCCGTTTCCTTCCTGGCACCACGTTCTTTCCCAGCTCCAGTCTTATCCAAGATCTTTCTCCTCATAAGCGTTGCTAGTAACAAAATATTTAGGATTTTGGCTGATTTCCCTTTGGTTTTCTCAGGTGGTGGCTGTTGTGGCCTCCAATATCACTGCAACAGGAAAGAGCTCGGCTTGAGGTGCTCCAGGAGGCATCACAGGAGGAACCACCGTTCTATAAAGCACCTGTGAGCTCCGTGTTGGGCTGTTTTGCTGCACAGATGGCTTTGGCGGTGGCTGCTCGTGCTTCCCCACGTTTTTATGCCACTCGTAATAGCCCTGACTGATGGGCACATGTTGGCTGTCAACATCTCTGCTCCAACACAAATAACTGACTGTTTGGCTGCGGGAAAGCAGAGACACGCTGTAGGGCAGCAGCAAACAGGTATTAAGTGTACTTGAAACAGCAGAACCCACTTCCTGAACTCAACAAGCATGTATTGACTTATGGGATGGAAGTGGTTTTTAGGTTCTTCTCTATGATCTGCTGGCCTGCCCTTCTGTAAAGGCTTTGTTCTTTGTCTTAGCCTGACACAATGCCATGGTCTGTCTCTCTTTCTTTGCAGTGTCCCTGTCTGTGCTTCAATGTGAATCTTTATTTGTAGTTCATAGGATCGTGTCTAGCTCCAGTCAGCTGTAGTCTGATCGGATTGTCTTCTTTGGGGAGTATTTTTCCAGGGAGAGGAAAACAAAAGCTTTGTGGCCTGGCTTTAGCACCAAGTGTGGATTCACAGCAGCCTAACCTGAGCCCTTGGGTGGCTGTTTGACCCCTTGAGCCGTCGCAGCACGTGGATGGGCAAAGATGATCTTGGGTTCAGGTTGGGGGACTTGTTGGTCACTCTGCTCAAGCAGCTTTCAAGGAGTCACCCATGAGAGTGAGGCCTGGGGTGGACCTGGGTCAGCGGTGCAGTACATCCGACCCATCTCTCAAGCCCGTGATGAGAGGATAGACTAGATCATTATTTGCCATTACCTCACTGGTCTGCTCTACCTTGGGAACAGGAGTCTCCTTGCCCTGAGGTTGAAGCTGGGAATTTGGCTGTTGGGGCTTGGTGCTCACAAGACCTGCTTTTGATGAGGCTGTGTGAACCTTTCCCCCTTGCTCATGCCTTGCCTGGCACTTCCCTCTACTGCCTTTTCCCTGACCGGCTCCCGCTCTGCCTCTCCCTTGCGCTGCCTAGATCTGGTTTCTTCTGCATGGCTTTGAGTTCAACCCAACTCTTACAACAGCGGTTTTTCTAGAGCCAAATTATTTCAATTGCTGCTTGAGCTCAAGACCAGTGCCCTTGTGTGGAGTAGGAAGTTGCCTGTCATCTATTTCAGATGGGCTGGAGTGTGCATCCTGGCACAGCGCATGTGGTTATAGCATATAACTACATCCTTTTGAAGTGCTCTCCGGCAGAAGAAATAACTCYAGCATTATAGAGGTTTGCAGCTTCTTTGGGCAAGCGCAGCAATCCAAAGGATTTCTTTTTCCCAGTGCCACTGTGGTTAAAGCTSTGCTATTTTCAATTAGCTGTTCAATCCTTGGCTGTTGGGGCAGGGAGGGATCAGGGAGCAAAAATTACACGGGTGCTGGGGATCCTGCAATAAACGCTTTACGAGCCTTTTCTGGCAAAGATGCCTTTGGCAGAGAAAGGCAGGTTTTTCTCGAGCTCTTTCCCTGTTTGAAGGGAGTGTAAAGTTGAAATGATAAGCCAAGGTCTTGGAGGGATTATATAACCCTCAAAATAAGAGCACAGGTAACTTTTGGTGTGGAAATGGTCCTGGGCTCTTGTCCTCTGGGTGGCAGAGATGCAGCTGCTCTCGTGCCTCCCTGGAGGATGCAGAGCACATTTGCTTGACCACTGATTCTGGGTCCTTTCATCACCTGAAGGAAACTGATTTATCTTAATCACCGTCACTGTCCTAATCAAGAAGGGCGCCCTGCTCTGTGAAAGGAGATGGAAACGCCCTATTGCATTGAGGGGGATCCTTCTCTCCCAAGCCTCTCCAACCCAGCAAATATTTCCTTTGGCCAGCTGCCTCGAGCTGGAACAGCCTAACGGTGCTCACACTCACTGAGCCTCCTCTTCTCTTGGAAGCTCTTAGTATGGTGCCTGGCGAGCCTGGTGAGTCACAGTAA